ATGACACAAATACGTTTAAAATACAAGTTTGTAATGAAAGTGTGTTTTAATGTATACTTCAACAACAAAAACACAAAAGAGGGTTAGTCAGTTCTTTCAGTTTCCAGAAGTAGGTCACAGAATAAAGTGGGAATAAAACCGGACTTTAAAAATGAGGGAAAATGACTTCTCCGTGATGTTTGAAGCTTCTTTGTTGTTATCAAGTCCGCTTTAAATCAAATATACCTTACAGGCTACAAGACCAACAATAATACGGCTCACAGAAGGACCCCAAAAGGCTTATGTTATTATATATAAGACACTTTACTGCTTAATTGAGGATATTTGTTTTAAATTTTGATAAAATAGAGACAGTATAATGTCCTCGTAAGTGGATATCAGGCCCTTGTAGAGCAAAATTTCCACATATGTGGACGCCAGGTCCTAGGAGGTTAAATGGGCAATTTCACTATGGAAGTTTTATATTGACCTTAAATACAAATCCAGCATAGGAATTATTACATCTAACACTCATTTAAAAACACTCACCACTCAATGTTACAATTAATCACTTTACTGTAGCGAGTGTATTTTTTTAGTAGATGAGACCAAGAAGAACGAGATCAGGAGGGAAGTGTTTGCGAAGCTGAGGAGAGGAAACTAAGTATAATAAAAAGCAAGACGTTTATTTAGGCTGATGAACAAATAGCCAAACAAGGCGAGACAAAACAAAGAACTAAACTAAAACCTAAACTGGAAAAATAAAACTAACCATGAAAATGAGGACAAGAGACAACATGAAACTGAACAGGAACATCCAAAAACATGACTGTGAAATAATCCAAACACAAGTACGACAGCAGAAAACAAGACTCTGTGAGCATGACTTGACATGAAGACAACAGACAACCTGACATGAAGAGAAGGAGACAGAGGACTTAAATACACACAAGGGTTTATAATGAGGGAAGTGGAAACACCTGGGGAGACACAGCTGGAGCTAATCTGACATAACAAGACAAAGGAAGCAAAGCAGAATACACAGACTTTCAAAGTAAAACAGGAAACACACAAACACAGGGGCAAGGATGACAAGGAAGACAAGAGAACAGAGACCTGAAACGTGGGACAGGAAGGCACAGAGTAGAAACACCGAACACAGGGGAGGCACAGAAACACAACCTAAAGACTAGAAATCAAGAAATACTAGTTAGAAATACAAAAAGGAAACCAAAACACTAGCAGAGATAAACCACGATGAAATCAAAGATGAATGATAACACAAAACACTGGGTCTCAGACCCAGCCCCTGACAAGGAAGTGACCTTTTGACCTGGAAATGTCTTTTGTGGAGTTTCACCTGGATACATTCATGTTGTTTTCTTCTTAGGAGGTGCTGAAACAACTGCAGAGTAAGCTGGAACAGGAGGCAGGGACCCTGGCATCGTCTGGAAGGAGCGACGTGCTGCACCAGCTTAAAGGTCGAAATCTGGCTTGACTTTTTTGTAATTTGAGGATTGTTTCTGCCTGAGGACCATTTTCTAGGAACCATTTAAGGAACTTGGGATGTTCACCCCCAGAAAGTTCCCCTCATACTCAACAACATTACGATTTGAGAACCAGGTTCAGATTTGCTCGTCTCTTTTTTCTGGATTTAGAAAAAATGGTTTATGTTGACAATAATTTGCTTTAAAATCACAGTGAGAGAAGGTTACAACTGTCTGTTTAGTCACTGTACATCTGGAGACTACATTTCCCCCTTAATTGTTGTAATTTTCCTTCTAATTTCTGTCCCGGTTGCACCTACCTGACTCTGCTGGTGTGTGAAGCTGAGAGCTCAGAGCCTCCAGTGAGACTAATCATCACTTACAGAGAAAGCAGATTGACTCATTCAGCTAATCTGATTGGCTCCAGCAAGCCAGGCCTCATTCAGTTAAATAGCCAGTTATTGTCAATTACTTTGTCTGGACAGGAATTTGTTCATTTCCAGCTGACAGATGTGTTTATAGACTTCAGCTGTCTGTCAACTCAGCTACACAACTGAAATTAAATCAGTCTAATTAATAAACATAAAACCAACAGTTTAGCTGCATTAACGCTGAATTTAGACAACTTTACTTCAAATGTAACCATACAAACTTAAAAGTGGTGGTCCAGTTAAAAAATAGAGTGTTTTAGTGTTATTTATGGTACTGGTAACCAGTGAAAGCCAGCCGGGGACAGACAGATGACAGATTTTATGACAGAGCATTTAAATAAAAATAGATTGTTGCTAATGACAGAATATTTTTGTTTACACGTTTTATGAGTCACACAAATTTAGCATTTAAACACCAAAACATCCAAAGAAAAAACAGATTTGCTGTTAAAGTCTGAAAAAAGTGGAGACGTTTGTTGTTGTTTTTCCTTAAATATAATTTTAGATCACAATAAGCAAAATGAAGACAAGCCTATCACCTGCATAGAAATGACCAGATGTAAATGGCCTGTATTTATATAGCGCTTTACTAGTCCCTAAGGACCCCAAAGCGCTTTACACATCCACCCATCCACACACTGGTGATGGCAGCTACATTGTAGCCACAGCTGCCCTGAGCCTCGCCTCTGTCAGTGCGGACACTTAATGTATTAAACACAGTATAAGTCCTTTAACAAAATAATTTTATGCAGAAATATTGCAAAAAATGTGAGTATAAATATGCTGAAGAGTATTATTGACGAATAAAAGATAGTGACTGTAATTCTAAAATCAAACGCTGAATATCCCGGGGCTGCTGTTACATCATAGGCAGAAATTCCAATTTGAAATAAACCAGATTTAAAAGTAGAGCCTGAGTTGTTGATCTGATGGCTCTTGACCCTCCTTCACCTCCTCCTCCTCCTCCCTCAGAACTCCACATGGACCTCACCAATTACTACGAACTCAAACATCAACCTCATAACCTGAGGCTGCTGACAGGCAGCCTAGGAGGGGCGGGGCCAGGTGTTGGCGGAGGTGCAGAACTAGATGATCACCTAGCTCTGGCCCCGTCCTCGTGCTCCTCCTCCTCCTCGATGGCCGCAGTAAGCAGGGGTAGGAGTCCTCACCGATCGGCATCCTGTCAAAGCACAGTGTCTGCCGGGAAGACTGCCGCTGTCATCCTGCCGCATCACTTCCTGGATGGAGCCCCGCCCAAAATAGCTATGATCACTGGAGCAGACGGACGAGTGATTGACCATCACCTGGACGAGCTGTGCAAGGAGAGGTAAGCTGATTTACATAAATATTAACTGAAGCACCTCAGGGTGGGAGGTCACATGGGACTGGTACAGTCAAGTTCACCCAGAGCCTTCATCTGAGTTTACAGATGACACAACGTGTGAGAGAGCTGATTAATCAGCAATTTTTTAAGATTTTAAATAGTGAAATGTATAATAACACAATATAAGTAGTGTTTAATTGTGAAATGTCCAAAAAAAAACTTTTTCTAAAAGGAAATTAGACCTGCAGGCTAATGTAACTTGTTCCATGGTAGTTAAGATGAAGAGCTTTTCATCTGATGTAGCCACCAAACGAATGGCAATAAGCTCCGCCTTACTTGATGCTAATCAGGTTTTAGCCTGTCAGTGTTATGATGCATGGTTATAATATAATAATAACGGTTACAACTATCTACAGGGACCTCCTGCTGGGGGAAATTGACCGAGAAGAGAGGGAGCGCTGCTGGTTCTTCAGCCAGCTTGAGGAGCTGTCACAGAAACTGGCCCAGCTGCCACGCATTGACACGGTGAGAGTTCATTGATATAATAAAGGATATAACCACAGAAATGCAAGCTTTGGGTGTTTTTACTCATACATGGACTTGTTATTTTGTCCAGTAATCAGAGAAACCTTTGACCTCTGACCTCGGTGTGTTTCTGCTGCTACAGTTTTCACTACAGATAGACATGATCCGGCAGAAGCTGGAGTTCGATGCTCAGAAGATCCGGTCTGTGATGGAGGAACGCTTCGGCACCAGTGATGAGGTGGTTCACAGGACGCAGGTGAGTTTGATCAACTCAGTTTCCTTAATAACAACTGACAGAAGCCAAACACTGGACATTGACATTTCCATAGATTTATGAAGTTTGGCCACCGCTGTAGGTCATGTTTGGATAAACTGTTACCAGCTAGTGCTGTCTGACTAATAAAGATGTTTGAGAAATTCTGGTGGTTACTTAGGACTGACTGGCAGGTGTGTGTTTGTGTGATGAACCTACACGTTTGGGCCAAACATCTTTATTAGTATAATTAACCTCACAGTGTGTCCGATTATCTGTCACATAACTGCACTGAAATGTGTCATCAACAGTACGAATACGGCAAACAGGTCAACTTCAGTAACTGCCAGCAAGTGGATGTGAGGCCTAGTAGGCAGTCAGCTGCTTTCCACCTGTGTTAGCGTCCACATCACAAAGAGTTCACATGTGTAATGAAGCAAAGTCAAAGCCTCCATGAATTTAAACAGCTGCTGTGAACAGCTATATTATAGTAGGCAAATCTCTCAGAAACCCCATGTCAAATGTAACTCTTGATGAGCCATGCGATAGCCAACGTTGTTACTTTCTTTTTTAACCCTGGATATCACAGTAATATAACTGAAGTGAATTATCATGAGAACCCTAATCCACACAGAGGGTTCGTCGTGGGAACAAAATGGCCGTGAATAAAGTGCAAATCCACAGCTTGAGTCATCAGTCCCGGTATTCATGATGACATGTCAGAATAATTCGATTATAAACTACAGCGACTAGAGATTTCTGCCAATGAGATGTGTCAGCGACAACTGCTGGTGGAAAAAACACATCTGGATGCATCTGAAATGTGTGTGTCTGTGTGTGTGTTGCAGAAGCGTGTTGCTCGTCTAGAGCAGCTGGAGAAAGAGCTGCAGGAGGCCCGAGGGAGTCAGGAGAGCCAGCTGCAGGTCAGATATACTGTACACTCTAACACACACACAGCAGTGTGTGAATCCACAGGATATTTGTACATTAAATGTGTTAGTGATGAATTCTGTAGACGCTTTAATTGGATGCAGAGATGTCACATGGCGACTATAAGAGCTGTGATTGGTCAGCTGAGGCTTCTGGTGTCTGATGCTGGTGGATTTGTTTTCTTGTGGGTGACCAACAGCAGAAATGTGTAAAAATCTGTTGCTAGAAAAAAGCAGGAAAGGTTAGTATTCATGATTGCTGTGATCCAGTGTTGTGATATCAGCATGAATTCAGACAGAATAAGGAAGTCGTGTTTATATCGATGTAGTTTGATGTTTCATCACATAACGTGTTATTTGCAAAGCTGTGGGTATAGTTTTTGCATCTCTGCTCTCACTGCATTATCCAACTTCTGAAACCCCGCCCCCAAATCTACCTCTGAAGCCCCGCCCCATGGTCCCACTCCCCTGAAAATTTGCCCTCAGAAGTTCTCCTACAGCATGGAGGTAGACTGCATCGCTCCAACAATGAGTGACACTGATGAATAACTCCACATGATGCTCTCAGCCATGAGAAAAGTCTCATTTGGGTATCCTGGGGTCGTCCTGTTGTCACTTTAGTGCATGTTCCCACTCCAACTCCACGTGACAGAGAGACACTGAGCCGTTGTATGCCCACACCCAGAACCCCGGGTACAGTGGCTCAGTAAAGGCGCAGCTGAAAGTGTGGAGGTGGACCATCATGTCCTGAGAGACGCAGTAGAAGGACAGAGCGCCTGCAGGCCAGTTTAGATAGATACCAATTCTGTGGGTGAAGTTCTCGGGTGAGAGCGACTTTAACCTCTTTCTGTTGTGACACGGAGTGTAGCTTCCCTCTGCGCACTCCACAGTCCAGGAACGCTCGTTGTGTCCCAGCAGGCAGTTCACCGTGTCTCCATCTCTAGAGATGTTGTTGTAGGTGACACCGATGTCAGCACCACCTCTCCACTCCACCTCCCAGTACACCTTGTCGAGCAGTCCCTCCCTGCACAGGACCTGAGGACAGAACTCAAACCGCTCCGGATGCTCCGAGTATTGATGGTCTGACCAGACACGAGTTGCCTTCCTGTTACTGTCAGTTAGAAGGATCTCAGAGTTGGCAGTGTTGGGGTCAAGGGTCAGGTAGTGGGCAACTGAAGGTGAAACAGGAGAAGCTGATTAGCCCGGGACTGAGCTTGGGACATGACCACCTCATGAACAGCCATTCTCAGAATGAGTGATTACATTTAATGGTCTTTACTTTAAAAAGTGTTTTTTCTTGAAGGAAATTAGAGTCAGTACTTAATGATTGTAGGCTGCGATACCACCCTGTCAAATATCCCAAAATCTCACAGCTAGATTGGAACTATTATTCAGGGAGAACATTACCAGGAGATTGTGTAGAAAAATTAAGGTATTGGAAATCAAAGGGTTTTAAAGTGGCCTTTAAAGACACAGAGACATTAAAGAAGCAGAGGTACAATTACAGTTTTTCAGTGCCCACAGGTGTCCTCCTGGCAACTCCCTAAAAGACCAGAAACAGTCACAGCATAAAAAACATGTAACATCTGATCAGCGTTGCAATTACATCTATTTGGAGATCGAATGCTTGGTTTGGCTCACTTGAGGTCTGCTTTGTCGGTGTTTCCCACAGCGATCAAAGTGAGCCTAGACATCAAAGGACACTGAACTGTTTCTGAAGGTTCATCTTCTTCCTCTTCCTCTCCTGACGGCGCTGACGAGTCATGTCCCCCCTTCCCGTTCTCACCTAACTGATCAACTGAAGAAAATAAATGAATAGAAAAATAATCAAATGAAGATTTCGATCCATCTGTTTGATCTAATTGTTTAAACAACTTCAGCAGATTTGATTCATTTGAAGCTGAATGAAGAAAAATTTTTTTAATTTACCTTCAATTTTCATTAGACGCACAAACACACATATGAATATGACAAAATAATAAAAACCAGAAGCTGTGGTAGAGTTTGACTGTAAACATGTGTGGGTTTTTTAAAGCAGGACGCACCTTTCTCTGATGCATGCATCGCCTCCTGGCTCTGTTGTGTTTCAGAGGAAGCCTTCCTCCTCTCAGTTACCTCCTGGGAAACATTTGCATCCCGCTTGCTGTCGCCTGAGTCGTTCAGCCTCTCCGTCGTATTGTTATTAGTTTCCTCGGTGCTAATTGAGTTTTTGTTCATAAATCCATTATCCGTTTGTTCCTCTGCCTTTACTGGGAGTGTCTTCCTAACTTCCTGACGATCGTTTGTTTTGGGGGTAATCTTTGAAAGATTACCTCTCTTGAACAGATTCAGGAGGGACTCGTCACTTCTTTCAGCTTTAGTGGCTTTTATCTTGACAGCGTTGGAGGAATCTAGCTTTGCAGCACCATCTTTGTCTTCATGCTCCTTTGAAAGGCCGATTCTGAAGATGCTGGAGATGTCTTCTTTCAAATGATTCAAGTCCTCTTTGAGCAGAGTCAGAGTGCTGGTCGGCTTTTCTGGTGGCTGTGTTGTTTTAGGATTTGTGTCTTTGTCCTTGAACACTTTCCACAGTCCTTCCTTGAACTGGCTCAAGTCCTCTTTGAAAAGAGTGAGCGGGCTGACCGACCTTTTCTCCGTCTGACTCGTCTTGAGTAAATCTCTCGCCTGATCATCTTTACCGTTACAGTCCTCCAGGTGAAGTTTGTCGTCCTCGTGTATGTCAGTCTCTGTCTCATCCTGTTGCTCTGAAGGTTTTTCACTGTGGCTCATTTTGTTGTTCTGTGAAACTCTTTAATCCTTGTGACGTGTTCACAGCAATCTTTAAGATATTGATATTTAGGCTGTGGGGATCACCTGTACGAACAGATATGTGTGGAAATGATACATGTGATTTCTGACTGTAGCACTGCTAATAAAAGGATTTTAAGGAGACAGCTGGGCTCTTCAAGTGTCTGACCAGGATGCCATCTGGATGCCTGCAAAGGGAGATTTTCCAGGTCAAAGTAAGGATTCTAAATCCCTTCTGGTCTGGTGAAAGGGGAACCCGGGGTAGTTTGCTCAGACTACTTCCTCTCTAACCCAATTCTAGCTAAACAATGACAAATAACAAAATACATGTTCTCTAAAAATGTTTCAGGAACTAAAATGTTTCTTCTGGACAGAAAGAAAGTAAGTGGTAATTTTCTCCTGAGCTCTGAATGACAGATATTAATATTCGGTCTGCTACATTTAAAAATACGACCATTTCCTGTCTAAACAGCTGATTCGGTCCTTTTAAAGAAATACTTGAATCATATGATTTTCTGAAGCCAGATTTCACAGAAACAGAAAGCGCGTTCATACGTAGTTGGTAAATCTCAGGTCATGTTTAGGCTTGTTAGGTCCAATAATCTACTCTTAACAACAGCGTCTCATTGAAATACTCACATCTGCTTCACGTTTCTTCTTTTTTCATTTGCGAACCACGAAAAGATTTGAAAACAAAACACCAAGGCCTCACACACACACACAGACACACACTCTGTCTCTGCTGTAAATCTGTGTCTCCCTCTGGTTTTCTTGCATTTCTGAACTGGTTTCTGGTTCAACCAGTTTGTCTCCATGTTTTCACCTTACTGCAGAGCAGACGATTGGTTGGCTGTGGGGAGTGCTTCCACTTTGCTTCTGCTGTGACGAAATATGAAGTCAAGTTCAGTTGCATGGCTGTAGTCACATGGTCCGGTGCCCTGAAGCAGAAACTACATGTTGGACTACCACTGACCATCAATGTACACAGCAGTCCAGTCCAGTAACATGGCCTGAAATTTAAAATATTATTATTATTATTATTATTATTTTACCTGCACAACTGGTCGGCATTCTTATGCACAACAAATGTTTGACAGCAGACCATTGGGTGCAATACAAAAAGCAATAACAATGTTTC